TCGCTGCTGATTTCCAACGAGAATTCATCGTGTGCACGGACAAAAGGAAACTGAGTGGATGAAAGAGGGAGATTAGAGAACACGTTTGCACGCGGAAGAGATAAGTTTTGCGAACGGACCGCTTGAAAAGTGGAACGAGCACATCGAGCACTGTGCTACCGCACCTAGAGAGATTTGAACACACGTTTGGAATATGTAAGTAACAACGTACGTGTGCTTCCTTTTGGAACGGAACGTTTTCGAGATAATGTCAGAGGAACGAGTTGGAGTTTGTGAAATTTGTGAAATTGGGGTCTTTTCTCGAATTTACGGTTTATTAAGCGTAATTCTTCCCTTCTTTTCTTTTTAAATATATTATCGAATGAAGATTGGATTGAATTTTGGGTCAAAAAAGATGATAATTTGCGTGTATTCGAAGAGGCAAAATTATGTTTGATGATTTCAAAGGGAAAGATTCTCGAATTTGTCATCCTTTTGTTCTGATCCTTAGTTCGTTATTTGTTATATTTACGATATATATCGTGTAATCTTTCTTTAACACGTAAAATAGAGTTTCCTAAAGAAATTTAAGTTGATAGTGAAAATTTCTGGTAATATCTTAATGTTATCAAAGAGAGGAAAAGGAAGTCGTAGATCTAGATTATATCAAGAGATTTTTTAATCTGTATTTAAATAGAGACATTTCCAGGAAATATTTCATAATTATGATGCATTCGAGAAAAGAGAGAAACTAAAAGAGAATTCGATAATATCTCATCAGATATTTTTCCAAGAAAAAAAAAAAGGAAAAAGAAAAAAAAAGAAACAAACAAAAAAGGAAGAAGCTTGAATTGGATTTAATTGAGATTTGAAGAAATTTTTTTAATCTATATGTTAATAGTGAAAAATTCTCAAAAAAAATGCGTTGCGATTAAAATATTATTGGGAAAAAAGAAAGACTTAAAACTAGGAAAAAAATTATACTTTTGAGATATTTTTATATACGAAGTTTGGAACGAAACTATTTTCAAAACTGTTCGTAGAAAAGAAGTGTGATTTTATCTTGCTGCATAATTTTGATTTAACAGATTATATATTCTTAGATATATTTCACCCGATTTTTCATCCATCAGCAGATCGGATGCTACGTTGAAAATGAGGAAAACACGGTTAAATTTATATTATTGCTCAACGTGAAAATATCATAACAGTTATAAATAACTATTTTATACTTATCTTATTATTACTCGCTTTTATTAAACATAGTAGTCGCAATCACGTCCGCATAAGTAATTACAATATTATACTATCTCAACACATCCATCTCTGATGACTATCATGACGGCGGTGACGTGTTAATTAACTTTATTTAAATTAAGAGTTATATCGTGCCGTGAAAAATTATAAATTCTGTTATAAATCCGCTTCTTTAATTCAATTAATTTCCACCACAGTTTGAAAATAGAAAAGAGTTTGCAAAAAATAATCTGTGCTATTGACAATTTAAAAATACTGCACGTAACGATACATATCAGAATCAATATTATCATAGGACACAACTATATTTAAATTTGATTTTTACACCGTTTTTTTTTTTTTT